GATTCACTCGATTTTGCTCGTCGTTTCGATGGAAGTACCAGGAGGCCAGCCACGACGTTGGAGACCTCTCTCTCTCTCTCTCTCTCTCTCTCTCTCTCTCTCTCTCTCTAAAATAAAAAAACAGTAAAATAAATCCCTAAACAAACAGTAGAATAAAAAAAAATAAAAAAGTGGTGTGCGCACCCGGCACACCTACGCCCCGCCAGCGCGCGCCCCTCAGCGCACCAGCACGCAGCGCACCGGCCCTTAGCGCAGCGCACTGCGCACCTCGGGTCCGCGCACCGCGCAGCGCACAAGGTCGGTGCGCCGCAAGTATGGTCAGCTCCCACTGTATCCAAAACCTGCCATGGACCCATATAACCGGGCAGCAGCTTGGGCGAAATGTCCTCCTCCCGCGATAGCTCAGAACTGAGTACCCATTCCCAGTCACCAGCGCGAATGAGGGAGAGTCGACGATGCTTGTTAACCTGCTGAATCATAGCCTTTTGGGCTTTGAGCAGGTTAACTATGACTCGTTCGATATCCCTCTCATATTGTCTGGTGAACGCTGCGGTCCCAGGCGTCAGTCTGGGGGTAGCCTTATCGATAATGTCATCGAGAGGCTGTCGTGGTTCACGTCCCCAGTGCAACCGATAAGGGGTGAACCCTGTGGAGGAGTGTACAAACGTATTGTACACTAGTTGTGCCCGTCCTAAATGGAGATTCCAGTCCTGCTGATCAGGGCTGATCACAGGACGCAGCAACTGGAAAAGAATCTGATTCATCACTTCAGCCTGCCCATTGGCTTCAGGATGGCGACCAGATATCATATCCAATCTAGAATGAAGGTAGTCCTTACAATAGGACTGCCACTCATTGCTGCAAAAACGCGGATCTCTATCGCTGGCAATAGAGGTGGGTGGCCCATGGTGTGTAACCCACCGGTCAGCAAAGGCCGCTTGGACGACCGGGACTCTAGCTTCCTCTGGCAGTGGGATGGACTCTGCATATTTGGAAAACCTGTCCACACATACCATGACCTGACGCATACCGCGCGGAGTAGTCCTCCCAAGGTCAGTGAAATGAATAGACACTGACTGTGCAGGTGCATCAGGGATGGGAAGTGGCTGCAGTAGGCCAAGGGGAGGTCGACGCACAACCTTGTTCCTTTGGCACAACTCACAGGTTTCAACATAATGCAGCAGGTCAGTCCTCATCTCTGGCCAGAAGAACCGCTGCGACAGGGCTGCCAACTATTTTAAGGCCCCAAAGTGGCCGCGCACATCATGACACTCAGGCATCATGAGTGTTCTCAGCTGGCGGTCCTGGGGAATGCACAGACGCTCCTCTCCTCTGCCGCAGGTGTACAACAGACCTAAAACCAGTAAATATCCTAATTCAGATGCAGGATCAATCTGCAGACTCCTGACTATAGGGCCGGAAATCGGGTCCTGTGGCAATAATTGGGCAATGGTCTGACGGGTACTCTCCCCAAAGATATGAGTAGAGGAGATCAGGTAGAGAGCGTCAGGCCTACGAGAAAGGGCGTCTGCTACGCGATTGTAGCAGCCTTTCTTGTGTTTCAGTTCAAAGTCAAAGAGATCAATGAAATGAATATAGCGTGCAAGCTTGTCATTCAGTTCCCCTTGGGTCTTCATCCACTGTAGGGTGGAGTGATCTGAATACATCTTGAAGTGCCTGCCATGAGGAAATGTTTCCAATGCTTGAGCGCTGACACCAGAGCATACAACTCTTTCTCATATGTAGAGTCCTGCAGCTTCTTCACTTTGATCTTCTTACTCATGTACTCAACAGGCTGCAGACCATGTCTTGCTGGAGTACCGCCCTAACCCCATACTGGCTAGCATCAGTAGTTAGTTCGAAGGGCAGGGTAGGGTCAGGTAGCTTCAGAACAGGTGCACGCATCAAGGCCTCCTTGAGGCGTGTAAAAGCCTGCTGACAGTCAGATGTCCAAAGAAAGTGGGTATTTCTTTCTAAGGTCAGTCAGGGGTGCAGCAATAGCAGAGAAGTTCTTGACGAACTTTCTATAGTAGGAGGCAAGACCCAAGAATGACTGAACATCACGCACTGTGGTAGGCTGTGGCCAATCCTGAATTGCAACAACCTTAGTTGCTTCAGGAGCCAGCCCTTGCCCAGAGATTATATGTCCCAGATAAGTCACAGAAGTCACTCCAAAGGAGGACTTTTCCCTGTTGATCTTATACTGGGCGTCATGTAGTGTCTGAAGAACTAGAGCCAGATGCTGCGCATGCTCCTCGATAGATCGACTGCATACCAGGATGTCATCCAGGTACACAACTACAAATTTATCCAGGTAAGGCCTGAGTATGCAATGCATCTCTGTCTGGAATGTGCCAGGGGCATTGCAAAGACCGAAAGGCATGACCAGATACTCATAAGTGTCGTACCTGGTCTTGAAGTCAGTCTTGTGGACATCGCCTTCAACCATCTCAATCTGGTGGTA